ATCTTATTTATAGCCTTTTCTTTTTTTCTTTAGGTCACGAGCAGTTGTCTAAGCATTTCACTGCATATCGTACTGTGTATGTGACAAATAAAATTTGAATTTGAATTTGATTTTTGTCTTGGAGCCATAAATGTTAGTGATTAAAGCCACACTGCCATCGACACCACCATGCATTGCTACTTGTTTTTTGTCAGTCGCTCTTTCCTACCAGTGATAACTGCTGGTATGGGTTCATTCAGCTCCTCCACAGACTCAAAGATCTTCTTGTAGCTGGCAGCAGGATGCTCCACGCTGCAAACAAAATACAAAAAGTTTTTCTTTTTTGGACTTGTTTCCTAAAGGAGTTCAGAAATAATGAAATATGTCTACAAGTTTTCTCAACTGCTTGTTCCTTGTTTGTCTTGTTAACAGCCAGTTCGTTTGTCTTTTGTTGGATATTTTACCCATTGTCCTCCCCTCAAAGGGAGGGAGTATGTAATTGGTTCCATTTGTTTGTTTGTCTGTCTGTTTGTTTGCAGTCTAGCATCCATAGCTGTCAAGATATCATTTCCATATTTTCTCAAACGGTAGATACCAACAACAGCTCGAGCTGATTTACTTTTTGTGAAAATCAGGTCAAAGTCAAGGTCACACTGCATTATATTTCCTCAGCTGTCTTCAAACTTCACAGAAGTACAGTGGGCCTCCTCTGGGGGTTCTGAGTGGTCTTGTTTTGTCATGTATTATTATTTTTGTGTTTTCTTACATTTCTCTATTCCTTTTAAAATCAACAATCTTTCTCATAGTTTTGTTTTGCTTTGTTGCATTTGTGTGGTAGAAGCAGGGCTGAAATTCTTCCTCAGTTACTGGGCCAAGATTCCTTCAGAGTACATGCATCAGCTTTTCTGAGCTTTTCTAAGATCCATCGAGTATTTTACTACAGCACCAGTGACTTACTGTGAAATTTCAGGTTGAAACTCCCGAGCTAAACTGTTTGAAATCTGCTCCGATGACTCATCATCAGATCACTTCGAGCAGAGCAGAACAAAGCACGTCTGCCAGCTGCTTTCTGTTATGTTGTTGGGGAAAACCAGCAAAACCCAACCTCGAAAAGTCATTTTCAACCTTTCAAGCGTTTGTCTTTACTGCCATGCATCTGAGAAACTAAAGAGAAGATGTTACTCACCGGCTGACCATGCTGCTACGCTCTTCACACACTTTCACAAAAGCTGCTTACAAAAGAGGCTCTGGCTTGTATTTAAACCCTGCACAGATTTCCTGTGGTAAGCAATGGAAACAGTGCCCCATCCACCCTCCTCTCCTTCTCCCCTCCCCTTTTCCATCCCTCCTCACTCCCCGTCCTCTTCTTCTCCTCCTCTCCTCGCCTATTTTCCCTTCATGCCTTTTGCTCCCCCTTTTCAGCACCCCTTCCCAAACCTCTTCCACCTCCCCCCCAAGTCTTAACCAGAGCTGAACAAACCAGCTTTGTGTCCTCTCCTTTCAGACGCCAGGCCCCTGGCTCTTTGCAGAACTTTCTCTGACCCATCTAAACAAGGTCTGGGAACACAAACAGTCACCAGTGATGTGGGTCAAACTAGCAAATTCAGCCTTTAAAAGCAGTGTGTTTGTTGAAGGTGGATATGCTTGCAGAAAGAATCTTATCTAATTAGTTCCAGACAGCTTTGACAAAGGCTGGGAAACTATTTTAATTAGCTACTCAGTGAGGAAGGAGAGTAACACACACACACACACACACACAAATGGGCTTCATTTCATCCTGCGACAGGTGGAATTCTTATTGGTTTGAGATGCTTTCCCTCTTATAGAGATACCACCTGCGGCTTGCAGTATCACAAGAAATTAAGGTGGGTAAGTCAAGGAGCCGTATCAAAATGTTTCTTTGATTTACAACCTAAAAGCTGATAGCTATCTAGACAAGACTTTGGGGTCTTGACTGCGATCGTGGTGTTGCTGTCTACTGGAGCGCGCTCAGTTGCATAATCTGACAAACATTAAGACACAAAACAACCATTTATTTTGTGATTCAGATTTAGTGAATTCAATTCTAGTATTTTAATAATCTGTTAGCACAAATTATCAGGCATTTAGCAACTTATTGTCACATCTAAATATCTCTGCTTCTGGATCACAAAATCCAACAAGACAGCAGCCAAAATGCTATAACCTACGTTTTTAAGGCAGAATCCAGAAATCAATCGGAAATCATGGTTACTGTGTCCATCTTTTAGATACATGATACTTCTTCCATGGCATAATAATATGGTTGCTATTATTATGCCATGGAAGAAGTATCATGTAAATATTGGATCACAAGAAAGATCACGGAGGTAATAGAGGACAATAAAAATATGAAATCATGAAGCCCGCAAGTTTACACATTTGCAAATAATAAACTTTGTGGTTTAATTCTGACTGGCTACACTCAGATTATAGTTACTTCTAAAAAGTAACAAAAAGCTGAAAAACTTCAGGCACACTGAACGAGCTTCTTTAGCAGCAGCCTGGCTGCCCGTGTTTGTTCTGCCTGCTGCTTTGTGAAGCAGCTTTTAGGTTTAAGGAATATTCAGGATATTAAATGCAACTAAGTGATTCTCTATTATAATCTTCCCACCAGGAGCATCAGAGTAACATAAAAAGAAGTAGGTAATATTACCTATCTGGTGGCCAGGCAGATGTAATCGTGTACCTTTATTGCTGTCCTTCCAGGACAAACACTACTAAAATACTGGACAGCTAAACAAGTTTATTCCCAGGACTTTGCAATGGAAACAATGTAGGTACAAAACACAAATGATGAATGCATGTGTGGTTAAACATGCACACGCCATCTGATCTGAGGTAAGCTCAAACATATCAGGGGAGAAGTAATACTTCATGCAGCTTAAGATAAATAAAAAAAGGAGAGTTTGACACTTGGGAGTTGAATTTGTTGAGATTTTTTCAGATACTTGACACAGGTTGTGTAATTCACCCCAGCTTACACCTGTCAGCATGAAACACTGGAATAAATGGATGGTGGTTTTTTTTAGAAACAAGAAGTCACATGGTACTGCCCACTAATATAAAACTGTGATGCTGTTTTTAGGTTTAAACAGTCTCCAGGATACAAAATGCATTTAGGGGTTGCTCAATTATAATTTAAAATCAGTGCAAAAAACCCCCCAAAAACAAAAACAAATTAAAAACAAAAGGAAAAAAAAACCCCCACAGAGAGATGCAAAACAACAAAAAAAAAAAAAAAAATAAAAAAAAAAATGCTAAAAAAAAAGCTCACACCAAAACAAAAACAACACAAAAACACAAAACAGAAAAAAAAAATTTATTTCCCAGGACTTTGCATAGTAAACAATGTAGAGGAACAGTTGTAGGTACAAAACACAGAACACCGAAGATGAATGCGTGTGCCGTTAAACATGCATGCACCATCTGATCTGAGGTAAACACAAACATACCAGGGTAGAAGTAATACTTCATGTAGCTTAAGATAAATAAAAGAGCATTTGACACCATTTGAATATTAAGATTTCTTCAGACACTTGACATGAGTTGTGTAATTCCCCTCAGTTTACCAAATACCTGTCAGCATGCAGCACTGAAATGAATGGATGCGCATTCAGGTCAAGCTCTCACAAGGCACTACCCATGCCAAGGGCATATCAGGTGTCTGATGGAAAAACTTGGTTTGGGAAGTCTAATAAGCCTTAAATATGTATAAATGACCACACTGGTGATTGACATAAGCATGCTGGCCTAGCTCCAAGTGCAAACAACCCACTAAACAAAGCAGGGATGAGACACACAAGCTCAAGAAGTAAAAAGAAACTGGAAAGATTAACACGATTTAAATAACTGAGCTAGATATGAAAAAGCTGGCATCCTGAAAAAAGATCACCAAGAAATAAAACTAAGATTTCAAAAAGAGTTTTAAAAACTCCATACTCGACAGAGGGAAAAATAAGATGAGGCCAAAGAAAGAGAAAATGCTCAACATCAGGCCTGACAAATAGTTTCAAAGAAAACTTAAGCATCTATGATAGAAAACATTGAAACTTCAAAAAACATCAACATAACAAAAAACAAACAACAACTAGCACTCACTCCTGCTGTCAGTGTTCATATAAATTAAGAAATCTAATTGCTCCCATATTGACCAGTGATCTTAGAATTGCATATTTTTCTCCCAATTGCCTTTTGAAGCTTGCTTCTTCTTACTTGAAGACACAGACACACACAGACACACACACACACAGACACGGGCCAGTATCAGATACAAATAGAAAAGAAAAGTGATGGGACAACAGGTAAAGTACCTTTCTTCATAAAACATGTATTCAGAGAACCTAAATGGTTTGAACGACTCTGTAGAGCTACGGTCACAAGCCTTCATCTAAGTCAGCACACAAAACTCAATACAAATATACACAACACATGAATACACAAATCAACTCCTGTTAAAATCATCCAGTCTACATTTACTTACAATAAACACAACAGTAAAAACAGCATTTCCAATGTAACACACTGCTTTTGGCTGCCATGGGAAAAACGACTTCTCAATTGTCCTGCCAGGAGTGTGATATCAGTGCAGCGATCACGACGTAAGCGGCGAGAGTGCGCCTCCTGCAGTCGTTCAGTTCCTGATGCTGAAAGCTTTGGTCTTCTTGATGTTGAGGAGTGGAGGTTTAATCTTTGGTTTGTTGTCAGTCTTGCTCTCTCGGTCTGGGGAGGGGAATCGTTGCCTGTAGATGTCTGGGTACTGCTTCTGAAACTTAGGAGAACAATAAGAAAATTACACTTTGCTGAGTCTGCAGATTTCCAGCATTTTTGAGGATATGAAGTGACGTGTTATATCCTTGTGTGAACTTCAGGAATCTGAAGGCTAGTGAAAATAGCTTTCAAGTTGAAAACACTGCAAATTGACTCAAAACCAAATATGTGTGAGTGTGTATCAAAGATGGCCACTGTTACCTCTCCCATAAGTAAGTGGGATACTGTTTAAAACCATGGGGTTTGGCATGTTAGCTACCACTGTTACAGTTTAAAACATCATGCCATACTGAAGGAAACTTGAAACTTGATGAGAAACTCATTGGTCGAGTACTAGGGTTACAAATCAAGACAGGAAGAGGGACACTTCTTTATTCACTTTGCATCTTTGTGCAAACAGAACCAGACTTGAGGCATCGCCTCGACTTTCAGTAGACCGTTACCTGTTTCAGTTTCTTGCGTCTGTCCTTCTCACTGATGTTTTGATCTGTCACCAGGATCTCTAGCAGCTCCTCCATGGCCTTCTGAGAAGACTCCAGTTTTTGCTGTTCAAACTCAGCGCCACTGATCTGATGGCAGAACGTGTAGACCGGCAATGGAGGGCAAACCGGATCGCTTTTGTCAGTCTTTGAAACAGAGTCCATTGGGACCTGAAATCAGAACAGTACAAACATGAAGAAATCAACATGTTAACAGATTTTAAAGCTCCCAATGAAGCTGGCAGGTTCCCCTCAAAGCTCCAGCAGCATGAAAAGGTGTATTTTGAGCATTCACAGCTATCTGCTTGCTTCTGCAGGTTGTATTTGAACAGACATGCTGGGTATCACTTACTCTGCTTCTTTAAGAATTAGTTGGTTGTGGTTTACAGTTAGAAGGTATACCTGTGATGTTCGTAGGTACTGTATATGGTCACTGATGGCACCAAGCAGGTACTCTGGGACTGAGAGGATGCTTTGCTGATGATCCATTAAAAATGACACCAGCCTGGTTGCTAACAGCTCGTCCAAATCACACTCCTCAGCACTGCCCAGGACACAGCCTGAAAATGTGTGAACCATCTGAAATCCACAACAAACATCCAGATACACAAGTGAATAAAAGGTAAACAAACAGGGACATCATGATAAAAGAACATGACATACATGTCTGTGCTCACACTTCTTTAGGGAATGTTCAGAGTATTAGACGGGAACAAAAAATATTTGCTAGCTCCTTACCAATGTCCGGGTGCCGATAGCAGGGTGGAGGCGAGGCATGTCTACATTCTGGCTGATGCGTGACGCCATCCTCATGAGCAGCTGCAACTTCCTGCGGGAGGCGGGTGGAAGGAGGAGGGTGCAGAGCTGCAGGGCCTCGATGGCTACACGTTCACACTGAGGCTGGAGAACGCCTACATGCAGGAACACCGTTAGAAAGTCACGCACACGCAAGGAAGTGTTTTCAGTCAAACTGAAGAACCACACTTCAGGACCACATTCATCCATTGCTACGTCACACTTGCTAGACTACACAATGAATGGATGAAT